ACAGTACTCCAGATGTGGTTTCACCGGCACCTTGTGCAGTTACAGTACATCGTCCTTACTCTTATACTCCAACCCTTTTGGAATAAGGACCAACATTCCACTAACTTTCTGAATTACCTGCTGCATCCAGTATGCTAGCTTTCTGTGTTTCCCCACCCCCCCCAACCTCAAGTCTCTTTCCGTTGCATCGTTCTCTATTTAAACAATATTCTTCTCTTCTCTTCTCCCTTTTAAGATGAACAATTTCATGTCTTGCCAACTTATACACTATTTGCCAACAGTTCAAACTACCAATATCCCTCTATAAACTGTTTGTATTCCTGTTGCAACCTGCCTTTCAACCTCTTGTCATGTCGTTTGCAGTTTTGACGACAGAGCATTCTCTTTCTTGCTCCAAGTTATTTATGCCAATCAGGTCCCACGTTCGCCAGCTCTTCCCTCACCTGAGATGTGGTGACCCTCAGGTTAAACCACCACCAATTTGTCCCCCAGTGTCATACATTTCTTATGAGCTGCTGATGTTTTCTTCAATATTTACTCTGAAGTGGAACCAAGTTGCCATCCTGTCTGACCCTCTTTCTCATTCTGCATGGAACCTTGCACTCACTGTGAACCAACAGCTTACTCACTGCCTGACTTGCAGCAAGCCATCAGGAAGGCAAATGGTACGTTGGCCTTCATTGCAAGAGGGTTGGAGTTCGGGACGCCTCACTGAAGTCATACAGGGACTTGGGGAGACCATCCCTGGAGCATTGTGTGTAGTTTTGGTTTCCCTACCTCTCGCTATGGAGCAATTGCCCATTGAGACTGCTCTGTCACTCAATGAGATCACGGTTGATCCAGTCATCCTCAAATCCACTTTCCTGCCTTTACCCCATAGCCCTCGATTCCCTTCCTGATTAGAAACCTCTCTATCTCAACTTTGAATGTACTTAAACACCCAACCTCCTCTGCGGTAAAGAATTCCACAGATCCACTTCCCTCTGACAGAGGAAATCTCTCTTCCTCTCTGCCTTAATTGGGCGACACCTTATTCTGAGTGTTTGTGTGTGTGCGTGTGCTTGTGTGTGTGTTTCCATTTGTGTGTGTGTATGTCTGTGTGTTTGTGTGTGTTTGCGTTTGTGTATGCTTGTGTTTGTGTGTTTGTTTGTTTGCATTTGTTTGTGTGTGTGTGATTGTGTATGTATGTGTGTGTTTGTATTTGTGTGTGTGTGTGTTTGTGTTTGTGTTTGTGTGCGTATGTGTGCATGTGTGTGTGTTTGCATTTGTGTATGTGTTTGTGTATGCTTGTGTTTGTGTGTCTGTGTGCATTTGTGTGTGTGTTTGTGTATGTGCGTGTGTGTTTGTATTTGTGTGTGTGTATGTGCGTGTTTGTGAGTTTGTGTGTGTGTTTATATGTGTGTGTGTTTGTGTTTGTATATGAGCGAGTGTGAGTGCGTTTGTGTGTGTGTGAGTGAGTGAGTGTGAGTACATTTGTGCATTTGTGTGTCTGTGTGTGTGTGAGAAAAAGAGTGTGCCTGTGTGTGTGTGTGTATGTGTGTATGAGAGAGTGCGTGTGCGTGTGTGTGTGTATGTGCATGTGTGAGAGTATGTGTGTGTGTGAGTGTGAGTACATTTGTGTAGTTGTGTGTCTGTGCCTGTGTGAGAAAGAGAGTGTGTGTGTGTG